CCGCACCAAGACCCTCCCGCATCCACAACCGCGGTTTAAATAAAACGATGGTAGAGGAAACAGATGGGGAGCAACCACACCACAGGCTGCAAAAGAGGTGCCCAGCATAGAACAACTGCACCCTTCGGAAAGCAGATGGTTAGCACTGGGGAACCGAGTGGGCAGGCCTCAGGGCAAAGCAGGTCACATGCAACATGAAATACAGCCGGGGCTCCCCACCAGCCGGTCACAGACCCAACAAGGAAGCCAGAAACAATCACCAAAGTTGAGGAGACCTTTGATGAGAGTTTGTGTGCCGGCACGGGCACGGCATTCAGACAGGTATCAGTCTTCATCCTGCAGTCTCTGCCAAAACACCACTAACTGATGAACACCATCTTTCTGCACAGCACGCCGTACCAAGGGGAGAATTAGGGACAACCCGATGTGCCCTACACCCCACAGGACAGGGCGACACTTGAGGCTTGGCCGGGAGAGAAACTGGTTCCAAAGTTCTGCTCTGCTGCTCACTCAGATCGCCGAGTGAGGCACGCAGAAATCTAACCACAGAACAAGGGCACCCAAGGGAATCAGCGACCCTTCCCGGTTTCCCCTGACTAATTTCTCCGGAACATTACTAATGGGCTAAGTCAGAGGCTGGCGGGGAAGACGCAGAAAGCCGGGAACGACCAACGCTAGCAAAGGAGCATCTTTAAGAGTGCGTGCGAGGTTAGCCAAAGGAAGAGGACGTACGTCCACGGACGCCCGTATTAACACCACACGAGCGGGGCTATTTTAACACAAACGTTAGAGAGAAAGGACCAGCAGCCTCCCTCCGGGTTAGGAAACCCAGAGGCATGCCTGGGAGGATGTGTACAGAAGCCACGTGCTAACAGGCGTGACGCAACGGGCTCCCACTGTACACGCTGCACACACATCATCCGACAAGCCGGTCCGGTGCGGGGAAGAAGGTAGTTCCTGGAAGAAGGGAGCTCGACCACACCTGGCTCCAAAACAAAAGCCGAGCGCCGGCCACTGCCCCGAAATTCCTCTCGGTCCCGAGCCCTGAAGTCATCACAGACCAAACAAGCCACGGGGCCCAGGATTTCAGAAACATTTCCTTGCTGCAGGGCCAGCGGAGCCTGCAAATGAGCTTTAAAATAAACAAACAACGTGTGGGTCTCACAAGGACGGTTTAGAGATAATGTATTTATATTAGTGGCTTTCTCGCTGCTCCCTGTACCCCTTCTCGCTCATACTCCATTCCCCGGTCAGAGTTTTCTCTCCTTCCCTCCCTGCTTCAGTTTGAAACGTGGCACTCAAAGGGACACGGGAAAGCCAAGGGAAAGAGGGTGGGGTGGGGGGGAAGAGACTGCTTTTAAATCTGACACACACCCAGCATGCACACCCCACGGGCCGCCCATGCCACGAAGGACTGTCAGGCCCCACTGCCCCTCAGACGGGGCTGAAGGGCTGAACTGTGGAGTGGAAAACTCCCCTCGCACCACCTCTCGGGAACGCAGAGTTAAGAAAGAGAAAGCTGGAAGAGAAGGAAGGGGAAAATAAAGCTCCACATTCCTGACATTTTTTAGCCAAGTGCTGTGGCTGCACAGAACAGCTCTATTCCAAACAGCCTGCAGGACAGAAAGAAAACCTGAATTCTGGGGAGAGAACCTACCCTCGGCCTTGGAAAGGGGAGGAATCTTAGGATGGCCCAAAACGACACCCAAGGAGGAGGGAGAGTCACCCTTTCGTATGTGTTCCCAAAAGGAAGTGATGCCAAGGGAAGAAATTTGGAGTCATCACCTCTCCAGGGACAGAGCCGAAGCCCTGGGGTCCCTAGGGAGAAACGAAAGCCCCTCTACATGATGGCGCGCTGACCAGTGAGGTGGGGAAGGGAGGGGCCAGGCAGGAGTGACATGGAGACCAGTTAGGATGCATGGCTGGGCTGGGTTGCCCAGGCTGGGAGAGGGGCCCAGCTCACCGGCAGAGACTGGACAGAGGACTGATTCTTTGTGGGAAGAATTATGAGTTTTCTTGACTCAGCTTCTGAAGGAAGGGATCCTAGCCGTGCTCAAGTTAAAAACCCAAGAGTCTGCTGTCCTCTCCTCTCTCCTCGTCTCTCCTTCCCTGTCCACCTCCTTCTGTCCTCATTTTAAGGAATAAGTGTGATGTGCTTGAGTTACCTCTCTCATAGGAATCCCCACACACAGACACACATAGCCCACACCTCCAGAGGAGAACCCAGAAGACCCCAGGTGTCCTCCTGTAAGTCCTGCGCTGGGTTATGAGGTGCCACCCTGGTTGTCCTCCACACGTGAAGATGCCCACGTGTGTTCCTCTGAGGTCCCTAAAAGCAACTGAGCTGTGTCTGCTCTCACCTGGTCGGAGAGCAGAGTTCGGAAAATCTGAGATCCCTCAAGATACCCGTCTCGGTGGAGAGTCAGTTGGCAGGTGTAGACAATGGGAATCTACTATGTGCCCAGCACATTCTCCATCAGGGAGGTTCAGTCCAGCCCTCCTTCTCCCAGCGTACACCGGCAACCCCACATTGCACCTTCTCCACACCTCCTGGAGGAGACTCCTGCCCTGTACGCCTAGAGGTGAAGGTCTAAGGTTCTCGGGGATGAGGGAGCCTGCACTTCAGCCAAGGTCCCTTCCACACTCCCCAGTCCAGTCCCAGGAGGGGCAGGAGGGAAGTGTTCTTGTAGTTCAGGCGTCTTCAAACTACGGCCCGCGGGCCACATGCGGCCCGCAGAGGAGTCTGATCCGGCCCGCCAGGTTTTTTGGGCAGTGAGCGCAGCCGAGGTGTTACAGTAGGAATTAGTAGTTCATATAGTCCGGCCCTCCAGCTCTCTGAGGGACCATGATCTGGCCCCCACTTTAAAAAGTTTGAAGACGCCTGTATGTAGTTTGTGTGGGGTTTTGTTTTTTTTTTCTCTCTCTCTCTTCTGTGAGGTACTGGGAGTATGGGCTCCTAGCACTTTCCAACTCCCACAGAGTTCCAGGATACTGTATAGGACTTTCCAAGATGAGAGGCAGGGACGGCAGGAGGTACCAAGCTCCAACACGAGGGCAGCTCTTTCTGAGCAAAGATAAAGCAGGTAGAGCCTTGGACCTTCACCAGCGCCAGAGGCACAGCCGAGAGGCTATGCAGGAGCCTCGGCCGGCTGCAGAGCGTGCTGCTGTGAGGTCTACAGCTGTCACGTGTCTTTCCAACCACACCCTCCAAGACTGGTGACATGGCACTGGGAGGCCTCTTAGCATGGAGGACAGCAAATAGATACAAACAGGACAGAGGGTATTGGCGGGACAAAACAAATTCTCCTGTTTCGTTAAGCTATTATTAGGATAAATAACAACAGGGCTTCGGGGAGCAAGCGACTTGTTTGCATATTTGTAGAATCGGTCATGGCTTTTGTTGCTTACATGGTCTCAGTTAGACTTTACAATAACCCCATGAGAAAGAGGTTTGGCTAAACTCCTTAATGATGGGGAAACTGAGGCTGCACTTAAGTTTTATTAGTCAGACTAGTGACAAAGAAAGGACTGGGACCCAGGGACAACCCTAGTAGATACAGCCCTTTCCAATATACCAATGAGACCTGTGGAAGTAGGAGGAGGGAGGAAAGGAGGGAAGGAGTTGAAATCAAGGAATACTACCAAAAGCTGGTGTGCAGACCCATCCGAGCCTCGGGTTTATTTCCTACAGACCCTCCACGGGCACATTCATACATCTAACCCTGGCTCAGCCACCACAAGAATCACAACAATGTCCCCAGCTCGAGGGCAGCCCCACTGGCCAGTTAGAACCCCTGTCATCTCAGAGTGGAGAGGATGGGCACCGAGACTGAGAGAGGGGGGTGGAGAGTGGGGGGTGGGGAATGAGCCCATTAGGAATCCTCCATCTCCAGGGCAGTTTACAAATGGTTACAGCTTCCTAAGCCATTCCTAAGGATACAGATAAGCAACCCTACCCAGAAAGGAGGACAAGGCCGGGCCTCATTGCAGACCACAGTGAGAGTGAGGGGAGTGCCACTAGATAGTGACAAGATAGATCACAGCATGCCCTATTATGCTCACTTTCCTCCAGTTAGTCTCACTTTTGAGTATCACATTTTTCTCATTCTCTCTTAGGTCTTTCCCACCAGACCCCCTGGATCTGACCCCTCCCGGCTTAGTACAAGCCCCTGCTTAGTACATTGCTGGGAGTGAGGGGGGGGAGTAGGGGATGGGGAGGGGGGTGAGAGTTGTAGGGCCCCACCCTCTTCCCCACCCCCATACCCTCACAGCATTGAGAGAATCATCTTGCCCCTAAAAGCACAGGGTATGCCATCCCTCTCCTTGGCCCTGTAACAGGGAGAAGCTCTGGGTTCACCACAGATGGAGCTGAAGGAATAATCCAGAGTGATAGTGGGTATATGAAAACTGGCCTTTTAGGAAGGGGGGGGGGGAAAAGGGGGGGTGGTAGGAGGCGGCTAGAGGCACAGCAGATGGGGCACTGCTGGGATGGGGTCACGGGCCACACGGGCAGAAGACCCAGAAAACCAGGTGGGAGGTGGCGAGGGTCGGGGTCCCTCCCACTGGAAAAGCCCAGAAGAGCTGGCAGCCAGGGCTTGGGAGAAGGAGTTAGTTGTGCAATGACTCCGTGTCTGGGAGTCTCCGGGCTTGGCTCCCGGACACCAGAGAGGAAACCCCGCTGTTTGGGCCAGGGTGGCAGCACTGCGGTTGGTTCGAGGCCAGGCTTTGGCTTCAGGGCTGCAGAGAGAGCTGCAGGATATTGGTGGGTGCCCGAGGGGGTCGGCAAAGTAAGGCATGGCTGGCAAGGCGCAGAGCTACAGGGGGGTAAGGTGGGCCTGGGCTGACTCGGAGACCAAGGGGGGTACAGTTACAAAGCCAGGGGTGCAGATCACGTCCTGGCAGCCCCGCGCTCCAGCTCTGACGGGGCTCCCCCGAGGGACCTGCAGGGGTTCCGCGGGCGGCGCACGGGGAAAGGGCACCCCCTCCCCAGCCTCGCTCACCTCGAACATAAGCCCTATGAGGACGCAGAGCACCAGGCAGAAGCCGATGTCCGCATGGTTGTGGATGACGAACTCCTGGCTGAAGAGCGGGTAACTTTTCGTCCTCCTGCGGAACGCCATGGCCGCGGGCGCGCAGCGGCCGGCGGGCCCCGCACCCTGCCTGCGCTCAGGAGCCGCCGCGCAAACTTGCCCAGCCCCGGCCCGCTCCGCCCGCCCGCCCGCCGGCCCGCAGCCCGTGCGCCCTCCCGCCGGCCGGCCCAGCGCCCGACAACTTCTGGGGCCCGCCCCCTTCCTCCGCCCGCCCCCGCCCCGCCGCCGGAACCGCCCCCGCCGCGGCCCCCTCCCCACGCGCCCCGCACTCGGCGCGCCGCGCTCCCGGCGGCCCCGCCCCCGCGCTTAACCCTCGCGCCGCCGCGGACGCTCCGGGGGCGGGGCCGCGAGCGAGGCCTGGGCTCCCCGCGACCCCGGCCCGCCTCGCCGTAACCCTCCCTCGCCCCTCGGCCGGCGCCCTGGTCCCCGCGCCCCGCCGCATTCTTGGCGCTGCGGCCCCCCGGCCCCGCGCGCACGCAGCAGGCCGCGGGGGGGCGCGGACGCCCGGCAGGTCCGGCCCCGACAGGAAGTGGGCCCGGGTTTCCCGGTCCCGGCGCCCGCTCCTTCCTCCCGGGAAGGGAAGGCCCTGGAGGCCGCGGGCCGCCAGATGGTCCCCGGGGCTGTGGGCCGCAGCCCTGGGCGCAGAGAGCGGCGTCGGCCCCGTGGAGGGAGGGAAGCTGCAATGCCGGCCTTCTCGCTGGCCATCGTGCTCTGCCTGGAACATAAATGAATGGACAGTGGATCGGGTGTGTGTGGAGAGCGGGCAGTGGGCTGGGCATGGTTCCTAGGGCTGGGATTAGGCAGGACACACACAAAAAAAGACCCTGCCCTGGGGGAGCAGCCTTGGTTCCGAATAGGGCGAGGGGATGGGTGGGTGCAGGTTTTGCTCTCACTTTTGAGACCCTGGCACTCGTGTGAATGAGCTTTACACGTCTCTTAGCCAAAGTCTTCCTTCCTTGTGTCTTAACTAGTCTGCAGAAGTGGAAGAATAAACAGTGAAGGACTTTCTCATTGGAAGTCTCTAATAGTGTGTTTTTTAAAAGCCATCTGGGAAAGCATAAAAAGTATTTTAATAAATGAATATATATTGGCAAATATTGGATTTATTCCCACCAGTAATGGAGGCAACTAATCACTTTTTACATGTACAAAAACACAATATGAAAAAGAAATTAAATCCTTATTCATCCTTTTATTAAAGCCTATGTTATTGCACTTCTGAGTAAATATGATTTCTTAAAAAAACGGTAAAGTGTGAAATGTGATTGAGATTGGGGTTCCTAAATAAATCTAACATCTTAAGTTTCTTAACTCCTCAGTAATTAGTATACTGCCTTTGGTCTCTAACTTAAGGGAGTGAGAGAGTAAAGCTTGTATTGGACTAAACTTCATTGAACTTCAAGATTGACCTTTCTTACAGTTGGACCTTAGTGTTATCAAGAATAGAAAGAAACACTGGAGCATCTCTCAATTTTTCCGTCTGAGCTTAAATCAATCAGGAGGCTTTGGTTCAAAATAAATGATAAAGATTTATTCAAGGACCTTAGGGTTTGCAAACTAGACACACAATTGAGCAATGTCCAGAGTGTTCCTGGAGAGGAAAGAAAAGCTGACGGTTTTTATAGTAAAAAAATACATTTTTAAAAACATTTTTATTGATTTCAGAGAGGAAGGAAGAGGGAGAGAGAGATAGAAACATCAATGATGAGCGAGAACCACTAATCATGTGCCTTGACCGGGAATCAAACAATGACCTCCCGACTCATAGGTCAACACTCTACCCCTGAGCCACACCGGCTGGGCTAAACAGTACACTGTTGAGAAGAATCAGCCCTGCATTCTTAGCCTCTGGAATGGTCATGCTCTAGATCAGCGATGTCCAACCTTTTTCATCTCTAGCACACAAACTAATCACTAAAATTCTGCGGCACACCAGAAAAATATATTTTTTGCTAATCTGATGAAAGAAAAGTATAATTTTGATTCATTTACACCGGATGGCTGTTGTGTTGGCTGTTGTCATTTTTAAAAATTGATTTTTAGAGAGAAGAAGGGAGACACAGAGAGAGAAACATCAATGTGAGAGCAAAACAAACAACTGGCTGCCTCCCACGTGCCCCCCCCCCCCCCGGGAATGAAGGCCACAACCTAGGTATGTGCCCTGACAAGGGAATTAAACCAGCAACCCTCATTGTCATTTTTAATTTGATAACCTAAGAAAAGAAAAGGTCAATACCCCTGATTAAATAGTCAGGTATTGCATGTTTAAAAATTCTGTGGCACACTATTTGAATATCACTGCTCTAGATGATGGGTGGTCTGGGTGATGGATGTAGAGTGGTCTGGATATGTGAATATTCTTCCCAAGTCCCCCAAGGGGTGATCAGAGGGTTATCAGCAGGTTTCATGCATATCCAGGCATTGATGCAGGACTGGAATGATCAACAGGTTAAGTTCTCAGGCTCGTTAAAACAAAAATAGAATCCTTTTCTCCTACCTCAAACTACTTCATTTTAGTAATTCAGCAGATTGGCTCCATTTTATTTCTCCACTCTATTCCTCGACATTTAAATTTTTAAACTGCAGCCACATCTATTAGGTTGAATCCTATGAAACTGGTTTCATTACAGATCAATACTAGAATACCAGCATTTTAGATAATTCAACCTAATAGTTACCCAGTGTTACCCAATAAGTGGGAATTTCTTGCAAAAGATGGGATGTTGTCAACCTCTTAAGATTAAGAGTTTAGGCGGAAAGTCCTGGGAGACAGGTATTACACCTCCACATTCATAAGTGAGAAATGTGAAGTGAAAGAGATGGCTTAGCCTGTGCTCATACTGACTGTCAGCCCTAGGCCCTTTCAAATATTAGTGGACAGTTAGATAGGTTTCTTAGATACATGGTTTGAATATTTCACTACCTGAAACCCCATGGAGGAAGTATTAAATGCCTACTTCAGCCATCACAGCCATCTCAACATTCTAGTTTCAAAATAATCTCCAATCCCAAATGGGAATTAACAGTCGGGGGGCGGGGGGGGGGGGGGGGAGGGAATGAACACAAAGAACAGTTCGATAAGAATCAGAGATGAATTACTTCAGAGGCATTCAAGGGTTAATTTATTGGATTTGGTGATGTGCACAGGTAAGGGTCCCTAGGCCTGGCCAGTGATCAGGGCCAATCTGTGGGGCAACCAGATAGAAGATTAAGGCGGCACCCCCACCCCCCACCCCCCACCCCGCTGGCACCCCTGCGCTTCACCCTCTCTCCCCTCCACTCCCCGCTGTTGTTACCTCCCTCTGCAGGGTAAATGGTGGGGAAATGGGTGGGGGGCAGGGGGGTGCCCACTGGCACCCGCCTTGGCTGGTGTGAGGCCTGGGGGCTGGGGGAAGCTTCTGTGTTGAGTGTCTGCCCCCTGGTGATCAGTGTGTGTCAGCGGCCATTCCCAATTCCCACAGTTTGGTTGATTTGCATATTAGGCTTTTATTATATAGGACATAGGAGTTGGAGGAGCCAAATTTTTCGGCAAGCATAATATAAAACATGGTTCAACCATGAAAAAAAAATGGAATGACAGAGAAAGAATAGGCATAAGAGAGAAGATGATGATATGCTTAAATAAGCTGGGCTTGAGGAGTCACAGGACATTCGGCAAGCATAATATAAAACATGGTTCAACCATGAAAAAAAATGGAATGACAGAGAAAGAATAGGCATAAGAGAGAAGATGATGATATGCTTAAATAAGCTGGGCTTGAGGAGTCACAGGACATCCAAATCAACACTTTCACTGGTGAGTTGGAAGCTGTGGGATTGGATTTAGGGAGGGAAAACCAGAATGAGAGGTATTTGTGGTCCATCTACAAGGGACTGTTGAACCCACGAGCTTAAGTGTTCCGTGGTGAGTGTGTTGAATGAACAAAAAAAACCCCTAGGTCAACATAATCCTAGGGAACCCTGAGAAGGAAAAGAGGAGGAAAAGGGTGGGGTGAAGGAAACCATGACACATACATTTCACAAAGCAGGTTAAGTCTCAGGCAGGATGAGACTGAGACGAAGCCTTCAGAGGCAGGCATCATGGCCCTTGAGAGCCCACTCTTTTTCTTTTTTTTTCTTTTTTAATAAATATAAATAATAGAAAGTTTATTTAGAAAGTTACAGAAATAGAAAAGTGAGTGGCAGAAGAAATGGGCTCAGTAAACAAGTTACAGAAGCAAGAGAAGGGTCCTTGGCGTTTAGGAGAGAGGAAGGTAAAGGTAAAGTTCCCGGGGGAAAGACAAAGGGGAGGGGAAGGCTGCAAGCTTGTTCCTGGAGGGAGAATGCTGAGAGTCCGCTCTTAATTGGACATCAGAATGGGCTTCACACTGGGCAGAAGGTGAGGAAAGGCGGAGAGAAAGTAGTCTATTGTTTTAAGAAGTTTGGTGAGAAAAAAGAAAGTGGATAATGTTTGGAGATTATAGAAGATCTAAGGAAGGATTTTTAAATTATATTTTTGAGATTGGATCATATTTGGAGACAGAAAAGAAACAGAGAGCGAGAGCGAGAGCGAGAGCGAGAGCGAGAGCGAGAGAGAGAGAGAGAGGGCGCGCCCAGCTGGTATGGGTGTGGCTCAGTGGTTGAGCATTGACCTATTAACCAGGAGGTCATGGTTAGATTCCTGGTCAGGGCACAAGCATAGGTTGCAGGCTCCATCCCCAGTGTATTACTCTCTTATCATTAATGTTTCTCTCTCTCTCCCTTCCCCTGTGAAATCAATAAAAATATATTTAAAGCTTTTTTTTTAACTTTTTAAAAAGAGACGATTTGAAAAACTGAAAGCACTAGAAATATGGAAGGTCACTGGTGAGACTAAGGAGGAGACTAGAGGGTGACTCCAACAGGCAGAAGGAAAACTTCTCAGAGACTGGCCAGGGACCTAGGAATAGGTGAGCACACTGTCATGTCTAGAGATGGAGGAGATAATAACCTCTCATGTTTATTTATTTTGCACTTTCTGGTTGCCATGTGAGGGAGGCAAGATGGTCATTACCAACCCCTTCTTGTAGCTGTTCTGAGACACAAGAATGACCAAGGGCCGCATAATGAGTGGGTAAGCTGAACCAGGACACAGACCAGCAGGTCAGCACAGGGTTTCCTTTGCCAGAACATACTGTAGCCTTTCAGGCTCCCTAAAGCATGGCCCTG